CAATTATACTTTGACTTGAATGATTATTCATAAACAAAAACTTGTGTCTTCTCCTCCAGACAGGAATGCTTTGGATGACAAGATGTCCAGAAATATTTTATCCTCTGCATATTTTCCAAGCTGTGGCACGCTAGGAGCTGAATAGCAGAAAACGATGACTGAACATTTAAACACTGTGTCACAAGTGGCCAACAATTGAAACAGTTTGCATAATACTGGGGCTGGCAGATTAAATGTCCATTGCATGACAGCAGCCGTTTGAAAGAGCCTTCAGTGTTTCTCCTGGCACAAGTTTGTTTTTGTTCAAAGGCTGTAATTTTAAGTAGCCTTCTGCTTTTACTGAACAATTTTGCTTTCATTCTACACTTTTCATTGAGGTGAACAGAAAATAAGACTTTGGGTATTAGGTTGGTAGTTTCGACAGAGTGCTAAACAATATTGCTAGGCCATTCAAATTCCAATGTTTTGTTCAAAGAAAATGCATTCATCCACCCACTTCATAATTATGAGATATCTCAAATTATCCTGTCTCAGTATAAATCCTGCTCGAACATGGCTCATCATTTGGAAAGACCCGAAATTCCTGGCTTTGCTACATCCAAGATTCCAGGGGCCATTTGTGCTGACACTCCACATGCCCATTTCATACATTGACTGGTGCTTAGCCCTGCGTTTAATTGTGGGTGGAATGGGGAAGTGGGGTAGGGGTAGACATATGAAAGCTGATCAGTCTAATCCCCTCACTGAGAGGATTTTAAACACATACTGCACCAAGATCTGGGTGATTTTAAATACCTCTTCACTCAGCCCTGGCTGATATTAATTCTCCTGTCACTGAGACCAGGGTGATTTGATCGAGCCCCTCACTGAAACTGAGTCGTTTTAAGTCATTGAAAGTTTGAGAACATGAGATTGCAACCTGTAAGGAAGAAATTATGCCTTGAATTACTTCCGGATATCCAAAAGCACTTTATGTCAATGAATTTATTTTGGAGTATAGTCGCTGTTGTAATGTAGCAAACATCGGAGCAAATTTGCATGAGTGAGGCTCTATGAAGGCACTTGAATACTGATCAAATAACCTGCTTTCACTGATGTTGGTTGTAGGATAAATATTGATGGCAATGTCACAAAGAACTCCAATACGCTTCTTAAAATAGTGCATTGGAATAATTCATGTCTGCCTAAGAGGGAATAAAATGCCTCGATTTAATGTTTTATCCAAAATTTGGCATGTCCGATAATGATGTTGGCACACCTTCAACAGTGCAGTAAACACAGCTGTTTATCAATGCTGTTTAATGCTAATACGAAGGATATCTGACAGATCAGGTCAAACAAAATTTACAGTTAAAAATTAAACCTCAGTTTAAACAGCCTCCATCAATTTTTATTGACAAATAAATAAATGCAAAGGTCAATTCAGAGTATTATTTTACTCAACTGCATTTATACTGTAGGCCTCCCGGTATGAAGTAGCTCAGATTGCTGCAAAAAGAATTGCTGTATGGAGGAATTAATTTCATCGTTGTGAGATCTGCCAAAGGTTCCTTCGAGAATATATAGTTCTTTCAGCACTAGACCAAAGAGATATTTGGTGTTACAATGTTTGAAGACGGCTTTTGTTACGAATATGTAACTATCAGGGGAATCTTTTTCTTGGCTGCACAATGATGCATGGAAGATCTTTAAAATACTTGAGGCAAGCAGAACAAAGTCTGGGTAAAGGGTAAGGTAGGTGCATCACGGTGGTATGGCAGGGACTTTAGATTTGAAGGGAGGAGTCTCAAAGGTCACATGATCTGACATTTTTCACTCCTTTGACCTTGTGGGGGAAGAGAAAAAGAACTTTTGAAGAACCTTCAGGAGACAAGTAAAGGTGAGGTCTTAAGAAAGGAAGGATTTGCAGTTTCACCATGCGCAGTTTGGGTTCTGCTGAGGTCCCAGATCATGTTGGAAGCTTGGCGTAAACATGAATGAGAGAGCTGAATTTCAATAGTGAGGTGAGAGTGACTGCCCTTAACAGCAAGATATCAAGACATCATCCATCATAAATCAGATGTAGGGATCTTCGTTTATGTTCAATTCCATTACAGCCTCCTTAAACAATGGGCACAATCCATCCTCACAATTATCAAAACTTGGACAACATCCAGGCTGGGGCTGATAAGTGACAATCAATACTCAAGTCACATAAGTGGCAATGATAATCTCCAACAAGAGAAAGTCTAACCACATCCGCTTGAGACTCAACACCATGACCATCACTGAATCCACATTCATCAATATTCTGATCGTCTTTGATCAGAACCTTAACTGGACCAGACATGTAGATATTATGACAGTAAAAGCAGGTCAGAGGCTGGGTGTTCTGTGGCAAGTGGCTCACATACTGAACACCAAAGTTTTCCTACGATCCACAAGGCACAAGCCAGGAGTGTGACTGAATATTCTTCACTTGCCTGGATGAATGTGGCTCCAATGACACTCAAGGACCTTGACAGCATGCAGGACAAAGCAGTCTGTTTGATAAGTATCCCAACCACCACATTAAATCTCAGGACTGTCCACCACCATCTATATCATAGACTGCAGCAACTCACCAAGGCTTCTTCAACTGCACCTGCCTAACCCACTGCCTCTATCTTCTAAAAGGAGAAGGAAATCCTTGGAAATAATATCTTCGCTGGACCAAAGAACACTTTCACCACATGGACTGCAACAGGTGGCTCACCTCCACTTTCTCATGGACAAATAGGTAAAGGGAATAAGCTTTGGACTTTCCAGTGACCCCACATCCCATGAATGGATTAGAAAAAAAGTTTGTGATACCACAAAGCACTTTGCAGCCAATGAAGCAGTTTGAAGTTTAGTTACTGTTATCAAGTACAGATTATATGACAACAGGAAAATGATACGGTAATCTACCTGTTAAAATAGCATCCTAACAAACTGAATATTGAGAGTTCATTATTCCATCATAGCCACCATGAAACTCTTTTCAAAACACCTGGAAGTTCATGAGGAAATAGCATTAAAAAAGCCACCATCATTGAAGGTCAAATAGTTAATTCATGTCATAGAGTCGTAGAGTCATAGAGATGTAGAGCACAGAAACAGACCCTTCAGCCCAACTCGTACATGCTGACCAGATGTCCTAAATTAATCTAGTCCCATTTGCCAGCATTTGGCCAATATCCCTCTAAAGCCTTCCAATTCATATACCCATCCAGATGCCTTTTAAATGCTGTGATTGTACCAGCCTCCACCACTTCCTCTGGCAGCACATTTCATACACGCACCCTCTCTGTATGAAAATGTTGCCCCTCAGGTCCCTTTTAAATCTTCTCCCCTCTCACCTGAAACCTACGCTGTCTAGTTTTGGACTCCCCTACCCTCAGGTAAAGACTTTGGCTATTTACCCTATCCATGCCCCTCATGATTTTTTAGACTTCTATAAGTCACCCCTCAGTCTTCGACACTCCAGGGAAAATAGCCCAAGCCTATTCTGCGTCCCCCTATAGCTCAAACCCTCCAACCATGGCAACATCCTTGTAAGTCCTTTAGAGATCTCTAACATCTACCTGTTCTGACCTATAGGGTACCTAGGTGACTATGCTGTCTCTTGCTCATGTCACATGAAAATCTAATTAAAATTTCACAATGAAATGTAGAACTGAAGTAAATTTGTCTAACTGCATCTAATTTATGCTATTTACTTAGAATTTTATGACCTTAATATCACCCATTTCCTGATGAGTGCAGCATTTGGTAAAGCTGTGAAAGGTCCAAACAAGAAACAGTTTCTTTAAATATGCAAACGTGCAGATAGGTAGCAACCTTAAGGAGACCCTTCAGTCCAGCAAACAGCCTGCACAGTGCCGGGGGGGAGGTCAGAGAAAATATTGGCGATGGAAAGTGTGCCATGTAAGTGACTAAGCTTGGCGAGATGGAACACTGTATTAACACCATGTAATTTATACCTGTTTTACATTTAACAGATGCTAGCCAGATTTCCTAGGATTCAGGATAACCGGTAGTGATAAGAAGGCAGAGGTTACAGGCTGAGAAGGCTAATTAATTTTAATGGCACTCTTGGCAAGTATGCCTCTCAAAGAAGCTTTCAGCTTTCCCTTCTTCCGATCACAATCTCTAACTAGCTGCTGATGCAATCAGTGGCCTCTACCTTCCAGTCTGTTATGAAATCCACACACTCTGACCCCAGTCAAGCACTGGCCCGCAGATCTCTATCCCCTCCTGATTGTCATGGATGGTCTACAAGGGTGTGTGTATGTAGCCTCCTGATACTGGTCCTGTTCAGTAGCTATCTAGCCTGAAAATCTGGCCAGTGGTCAGCCAGGAGATGGAAGAGTAAAATGATAAGGAGATCCTGCAGTTAAATTGAGCAGGTCATCTGCATTCACGGCCTTGCTGAAATTTCCCTCCTTCCCATAAATCTCAAGAGTAAGAAATGTTAGACTGCAGAATGATGCCATTCAGCCCACTATCATGGATACAGTATAGTCCTCTCCAGTCTGAAAATTAGTCATTCAGCATTGTTCCCTGAGTCTTAGCCAATTTTGTATCTGCATAGCCACAACCTGTTCAATTCCATAGGCTTCAACATTGCTAATAAGTATATTTTATGGTATGGTTTTCAAAATGAGAAACTTCTTTTAGAAGGAACTTATTTTTTGCTTTGTTTTATTTTCCCAGTTCCAAGCTCTGTAGATGTCTCTTATCTTGTGGGAGTGAACACAGCTTGAATTGTGGACTGCCCATGCTCTTTCTGGGACAACTGGAAAGGCAGCAGCTTGGGAGGATAACCTTTTAGAACTTTCCTGTGCCCCTGTGGAGATGTCTTCGGCCCTAGGCCCATGTGCCATGACCCTGAGGTAAGAAACCCAAGGAATGGAAAGCTCACAGGTTTGAAAATCAACACAGAAGAAGATATCGCTTGCAAAAATGCATTAGAATGTTCCAGAAGAGTATCTCCCTACCTGATGAAATCCCAGATAGTCGATGATTGTAGGAGATGCATAAAATATCATTCCATCAGCACTCACTAGAAGTACAAACCCATCCAGTGCCTGAAAAAAAGGAAAAATCAAAGTAGTTCAGCTTGATATTGAAAGCTTTGTGAATGACTGGGCCTTCAACTGCATAGGTCCTAAGATCTGGAACTTCTTTCCTAAACCTCTCCATTTCTTTATGACACTCTTTAAAATCTAATTCTTTGACAAGAATTAGGTCACCTGATCGAGGGTTTCTTTCTTTGGCTCAGTGTCAATTTATTGTTCAATTACATTGACATGCAGCAACTAGGCATGGTTATTATATTAAAAGTTCAATGCACATATAAGCTGTTGTTGCACAGATGCATCAAAGAGGTTTGGGGTGATTTCTTAAAAATAAAGCACTTTGGGTTTCTTGTATTGCAGGTTTCTCCCCTGATTTTGAGCAAGGCTATAAATTGGCCAGTAACTTGCATGGCTTGAGGGAAATATATGTTCAAACATAGGTTAAAATGATGGAGCAACAAAGCCATTGTGTGTAGGGGCGTCAGATGTGCCTTTGGAAATTTTGGGATTGATATTCCTCATAGATCTGCCTGCATCCTACTCCATTGTGGTGTGAGACTAGGAGTCCAGTCCAGGTCTGTTTTCAGGGTATTCCTCTGGAGTTTAGTAAGTGATAAACCTCTTTTTCCCCCAGCTTGGCTATCCATTTCAGTGGGGACAGGGATATTCAACCACAAAGTGGTTCTGGGCCTACAGCTCAAATGGGGATTCAGTCAAGCATTGACAACCAGTCTACTGATGAACAAGAGATACATTAGGTATAAAGCCAGGCATCTACAAGATGTACCAGAGCAACTCATCAAGGCTTCTCTGATAGCACCTTCCAAACCCATGACTTTTATCACTTAGAAGAATAAGGGCACCAGGTGGGTAGGAACATCAGTAGCTACAAGTTGTTCCCCAAGCCACTCACCATCCTGACTTGGAACTATTTCACTGTTCCTTCACCGTTGTTGTATCAAACTCCTCAAATCCCCTTTCTGACAGCACTGACGGTGTCCCTAAACATTAAGGACTGTAACGGTTCAAGCACACAGCTTATCACAATATTTTCCAGACAGTTCGGGATGGGTAATAAATGCTGGCTCAGCCAGAGACCCCAATATCTCATGAATGAATGAATAAAGAAATAGATAATACCCATTATCAGTCCAATGACTCCCACAGTTAACTCAAGACCCTAACTTTACAACCTACATCCTGTAAGAATTCTATTCCATTCTCGTTTTTCCTCAATCTCCATCAAACCTGTTTTGACTATGCAACCTTCTACACCAGTGCTACAGAGATACAATCCCATTTCTGTTAACTAATAATTCCAATAGCTGACAACTGACTGTGTATGCCTCATTTCCTACATTTCTTCTCTTGACCCTTTGTCTACCTCCCACAATGATGATAGGGTTCCCTTTGCTCTCACCTTCCACCTCATCAGTCTCCATATTCGGTGGCCTGTCTGCTATTTCCAGGGTGATATCACCAATAAATACATCTTCCCCTCCCCTGTACACATTCCGAAAGGACCATTCCCTCTATGATACCTTGGTCCACCCTTCAATCATTCCCAACACCTCAATTCATTTCTAGGCAAGCACAAGAGAACTTATCCTACTGCATGTCTCTTGTCATTGTCCAAGACCTTAAATAATCCTTCCAGATGAAGCAATAATTTACTTTTCAATCTAGTCTACTGTATTTGCTGCTCACAATGTGGTTTACTGTAGCTAGGGAGGCAAAATCTAAATTGAATGACCACTTTGCAAAACTCCTCCATTCTGTTCGAACATTGAGTTCAATATTGGCAGACTGCAAATCCATTTTGTGTCCTTTTCTGTGTATGTTAGATTTTTCATTCTTTCATCTTATTTTTGCTTTCAGACAGCATTACATGTGCTCCAGGAACATCTTTTGTTTATTTGTTTATTGTCTTGCTCCATCACAATTGCCCTTGACCCTATAAGACTAAATCTTGTGTCATTCAGTCTGTCCTGTTATCCACTCTAACACAGACCTCCCTGTGTCTTCACCCCATGCAGCCCTTGCTTAAAATCCATTTCATGCCTAACTTTTCTCAGCTAGGAATAAAGCTCCTTGATCTGAAACATTAACTCTGGTTCTCTTTCCACAGATACTGCCTGACCTGCTGAGCATTTCCAGCATTTTTCTTATTCCGGATTTCCAGCTTCTTTTCCATAGAATCCCTACAGTGTGGAAACAGGCCATTCGGCCCAACAAGTCCACTCCGATCCTCCAAAGAGTATCCCACTCAGAGCCTCCACATCCCTGCATTTCCCATGGCTAACACACCTAACCTACACATCCCAGAACACTATGTTTAATTTAGCATGGCCAATCCACCTAACTTGTAAATCTTTGGACTGTGAGAGGAAACCAGAGCACCCAACGGAAATCCACGCAGACACAGGGAGAATGTGCAAACTCCACCATGACAGTTGTTCAAGGCTGGAATTGAACCTGAATCCCCTGGTGCTGTGAGACAACTGTGCTAACCACTGAGCCACCATGCCACCATTTGCAGTATTCTGCTTTTAGAAAGAAAGGGCTATTTATTTTCACTAGAAAGAGGTCTAGGGTATAGTCTGAAGTAGCAGAGTCTAAAAATCAAAACCAGACCTGGAGTAAAATTAGGAAACGTTTCATCACACAAGAAGTAGTATAGGTTTGGAACTCTCTTCTGCAAATGACAATTGATGGTAGATCAATTGATAATTTTAAAACTGAGTTTCATTGATTTTTGTTAACAAAATATATGAAGGGATATTGGGAAAAAGTGGGGCATATGGAATTAGGTTTGAGAGGAGATGTGACCTCACTGAATTGCAGAACAGGCTCAAACAGCCAATGGCCTAATGCTGGCCTACGTTCCACATGATGAAAGTGTTGTTAGATAGTTTAACCAAGGCACTGTGACATGTTGTTAGATAACAGAAAGAATGTTTACTGGTGAGTTAGATAATAGCACTGCCTTTCCCTACACCCTAAATTATAGTCTCATAGCCAGTGCTGGTAAGGGCATTTATCAGAAGCTGAGGAAAACGCATTGGCTATAGGCCCAAGCTGTATACCATAAAATGTGTTTACAATGTTACACAAAGTAGAATATTCTCAATGGCAAATGATCACATCAGCTATGACTCAGTGACAGTACTCTGGCCCTGAGTCAGAAGGTTGTAGGTTCAAGTTCCACTAGAACAGTAATTTCTAGGCTGGCATTTCCATATTGTACTCTTGAGAGGACTGCACTGATATAGATTATGCCGTATGACTGAAATATTAAACTTCGAACTTGTCTGTTCTCTCAGGTGGAGGCAAGGATCATTATTTCGAAGAAGAGGTACAAAATTCTCCAGCTTTCAGGCCAACATTTATACCACAACAGACATCAATGAAAGAAATGACTTGGTTAAAACTCTGTTACTATTAGTGGGATCTTGCTGTGCACAAATTGGATGCTATATTTCCCAACGAACAGAATGATCACCCTTAAAATTGATCTACATTAATAGTAAAGCACTTTAAAATGTCTTGAGCCATGAAAAATGCTACGTAAATGCAAGTTATTTCTTTACCACCAGACTGACAACGTCCAGGTTGGTAACCAGTTGGCAGCATCTATTCAAACGAATCTTGTTTGGTTTCCCAGTAACCAGCCTCCTATATAAAAGGTTACTGATACCTTTATGTTTAAAATCAATCCTTAACAGTGTATTACATTAAATGATACTAAAACCTCTCCTTTAGCAAATCTTCTACCCTATGGACCATGAACATCTAAGCATGAAATAACACATAATCCACATCAGTGGCCAGGAAATTTCTATCAGGAACAAATTAACAAAATTGCAACACTTACAAAACTTATTTTAGTCCCAGCTACCATTACCTGTACATGATTCATAGAAACAAAGGCTGATAAGGCACACACAGATATTTCAATAGTGTGATATATTTTGTAATAATTTATGTAAAATCAACATAGACCTGTGTTGGGAGGAATCATTCCTTAATCAAACTCTGACCCTAGCACACACCCTAATGTGAATCAGAGATAATTATTTTTTGCATAGTTTAATAGTAAATTACTAGCAGCTTGGCCTAGAGCCATGTTTCTAGAACAAGGCGTCTAAATTTGGTGTCTTTTTTTTTACACACTGGTATGAATTCAAATTCAAACCACATGCCTGAAAGTCATATTTTAAGGGAAGAATGAATCAGGAATATAATTAGAGAATGTGAAGACTGAAATTCTCACACATCTCACTAAAATGACCAATGTTTAAAATGTCCTGATCTTACTAAATGTCATGACAGACCATTTCTGAATAGGTTCACAAAATATATGCTTAGCTTTAATTCCACGAAATTACATACAATGTCCAATACAGCACCAGAGCATTCGGCCCAACAGGTCAATGCTAGGACTCGTATTCTACATGAATTTCCTCCCCCTCCTCTTCATGTTCAATCTTTTCCTCCCTCATGTGTTTATCCAGCCTCCCTTAAATATATCTATGTTACTAGCCTTTCTTACTGCCTGTGGTAAGGGGTTCCACATTATAATCACCCTTTGGAATAAAACAAAAGATGTTCCTGAATTCTCTCTTTGATTTATTTGTGAAAACCTTGTACTTATGTTTTAGTTTTAACCTGCCCTACAAATGAACTAATTTGTTTTACATCCATCTATCAAACCATGTCATAATCTTAAATAATTCCATCAGGTAGCTCCCCTTAGTCTTCACTTTACTAGAGAAAAGACCCTCAGCCTGTGAAAACTTCTCCACAAACTCTCAGTTCTGGTATTATTCTTCAAAATGTTTTTGCATCTTCCCCAGGCTTCTCCATCACTTACATAAGGTAGAGACTAAAACTGTGTAGATTACTCCATGTGTGGTCTAACTAAGATTCCATACAAGTTTAACATAACAGCCACACAGGTGCACCACTGTGGCCAGGGTTGTATTTCATTACCATATCTTGTTAAAGGGCTAGTATTAACCCTTATATGAACCATTATATCCATTAGAACCATTATATCCCATCTATTTATCTTCATCAAGGCTCATATTAATTTTAGTTTACTAATCACAAGTCAGCTGGATTTTGACTGGACTCTCTTCCACACCCTTTTTCTCTTCATAAATGAATTTGGAATGTAATGTCAAATATGGTTTACAGCTTAATCCTTTTAAAATGTTTGACCTTTCTTGACATATTCCTAAGTCACATTAAACAAGTAAATGCAATTACCCTTTTTTGCCTCTGGGTAGAGCCATAACTCTCATTAAACATTTCAGCAAATTGTGATTCGAAGTTTGACATCTTTATAGGCCTCTAGTTGCACACAACGTCTTGGTGATTCATCATGTAACAATTAGTATGATAACAGTTATGATGAGCAAAATGAGGTACTGTCTACAAAATATCACAAGTCAACTTGTTTACAAGATGGCAACTCTGGGACCTGAATATTCAAGGGTCATGACATTGAGGAAGGACTGAAAGCTAGCAAAATATAGAGAGGTGGCTCTGTTAATTAAGGTTGCATTGGTATAATAAAGTGAGGTGACTGTATTTCTGGAGATCAGAATATAGAATCAGTTTGGGTAGAGATCACAAGTAGTAAAGATAAGAAGTCACTTGTAAGTATGGTTTATAGGTCCCCTAACAGTAACAATGCTGTAGCACAAGGCATACAGAAAGAAGTAACCTGAGCTTGTGAGATGGGTGTGGCAATCATGGGTAATTTTAAACAACATGTAGATAGGATGAATCTACCAGGTTGTCTCTGTATTGCAGATGACATTGCAGTTTTGGGAAGAACTAAATATATGCATGACACCACCCTCCTTCCCCTTTTAATAGCAAGAAAGAAACAGTAACAAATGGCAGAAAAATATGACAATAAAATCAATTTATTTGGTACAATCCATCCATTAACCAATATTAGGCCTGATCCTGTGAAATTAGAAGATGGACAGAAGATGTCTACACCACAAGACAAAGATGATTTACAAAAGATTTTTCATTTTTTTTAAACAATAGACTCTTTACAGTGCAAAAAGATTCTTCACCAACCCTCTGAATGGCATCATACCCCACATTTACCATGGCTAATCTTCCTAACCTCCACATCCCTAGACACTATGGGGCAATTTAGCATGGCCAATCCACCTAACCTGCACATCTTTGGACTGTAGGAGGAAGCTGGAGCATCTGGAGGAAAGCCACACAGACATGGAGAGAATGTGCAAACTCCACACAGACAGTTGCTTGAGGTCGGTATTGAATCCAGGTCCTTGGTGTTGCAAGCAGCAATGCTAACCACTGAGTTAGCTTGCTGCTGAATTTTGCGATCAAGGTATTTTATCTTTGAGATTGTCTCTGCAAATTACATTATACATATGGCAAGAAGATCACCAGCATATTTTTAATCTCTCAAAAATCCTCTTCCACCCAGCAAGTTTGTACTTCAATATTATAATCCATCCAAACTTAGCACATTGTAAGTAGATGCCAACCAGAAAGACCTTGGAGCACATCTGACATGGGAACAAAACAAGCATATTGCCTTTGGCTGTCAGGTCTTTACAACTGTTCAGTCTAACCCTTCCAATATCAAAAGGGAGTCTCTCGCCCTAGTTTTTGATTTGCCACAGTTTGATAAGTACCTAGTCAACAAGCGCTTCATACAAGTTGAGTTCTCAAATGGCCATCTCTGATGTTCTTGGCCAACTTCCAAACTCCAAAAAGAACAAAGGAATCTCTTTAGACCTACAAGTGGATAATGATGAGTCTGAACTGGAAAATGGTCTTAACATTGATTTCGTACATTTTGGCCATGCATTCCACAAGCTATATCAGATGATGCTCAGCTGTAACAGCTGAAAAACCTCATCATTAGCAGGTGACCTGAGTTGGTATTTTCTTTCTGATCATGCAGAGATGAACTCAGACTCTCCCTGAATGTCATCTTCAAAGGCAAGCAAGTCATTAATTCCACACCCTCTACAATCAAGACATGTTAGAACATATAAATATAGGTCGTATTGGTGTAGATAAAGCCAAGATATTAGCATATGACTCCGTATATTGGCCCAGCATAAGTAAAAACGTCAGTCAAATAATCAAGAGATGCGCAGGTTAGGTGGATTGGCCATACTAAATTGCCCATAGTGTCCAGGGATGTGCAGGCTAGGTGGGTTAGCCATGGGTAATGCAGGGTTACAGGGATAAGGTAGAAAGGTGGGTCTGGGTGGGATGCTCTTCAGAGGGTCAGTGTAGACTCGATGGGCTGAATGACCTGCTTCCACACTGTCAGCATTCTATGATCAATGTCATTCTATCAACCTCAACAAATCAACCTCTTCTTCCATATGTGATTCCTCCTGAGCTGTGGTGCAAGATTTTTCATTATGTTTTCCATGTCCAAGGACACAATTATATTCTGGTAACTGAATATCATTTCACCAAATTTCCTTCAGTACAATAAATGAAAGATACCACCAAAGTAATGATTGTTGACACATTTGCCACCTTATTCAGTACATTTGGTGCACCTCAACAAATTGTGTCCGTCATTGGTCTGCAGCACATGTGCGCACCTTTCCTCAACATGTGCAGGAAATGAGTGTTCAATATATTACAACTTTTCCTCACTCCCCTCAGTTTAATGGTCTCACAGAGTGCACTTTATATACTGTAAAATCCTTGATCATCAAATGTAAAGCGACTTGCAAAGATTTTTAGATAACAATGCTAAAAGTATGTGCTGCTCCTCATGGTGATGGTTTACTTCCACCAGCAGTTCTCATGTTTGGAAAAAGATATGCATTATTCTTCATCCAATACAGTCACCACTCAACCACATGTGCACAATGCATCATTGGAAAGAAAGGAGATAATTTAATAAAGGCACGATGAATAAGCAAGCAGACAGCTATCTCAAACTAAACAAAAACAAAGTTTACGAGGGTTGAGAGATAGTAAGAACTGCAGATGCTGGATTCAGAGACTTCCATACAAACGCATGGCTTAATGGAAAGAGACAATGCCATTGTATCCAGCCTAGGTCATACGAAGTTGTGATGTGCAATGATCAAGTCCTGTGAAGAAATAAACAATATTTCCAAACTGATTATCAACCGCAGATCACACAGGGTGATGACTGAGGATACCATGCCAGACAACAGCCTCACATGTATGATAAATGTTGTACAGCTTTCCACAATGAGAGACAGCACACCACAGAGCGAAGGTACACCAAGTTATGGAAGCTGCATAAGGATTAGATCTGGTTATGCCTGCTCACCAAGGTGTCCTTGTACATTTTATTGGAAAAACATTCTCATCCTTTAAATGTAAAAGGAAGGATATTGTATTGTAGCGTAGTTTCGAGACCGGGCAGGCCTGTACCTTTAAGACAGTTACATGATATCATGATGTTCTGGTATAAAGGTATCTGCATTGCACTCACACTATTGTGTAAAGAAGTCAATGTAATGTCATCAATCAGTCATGTATTTATGTGTAATGTACAGTGACATTAGTAAACACAGATCCCAGATTGTGTGTGTAAGTCTGCAAAATGTTAGCTATGTAAATAAAACAGTATTTTAAATAAACTTCAAGACATCTGTCTCAACAAGAACTCACTTCTCTGTGGTATATGTTACACAGATGAATATAGAAGGCCACAAAGTATATCAATAAAGATAGCCTGAATGATCAGTTATAAGCATGTTTTTGAAACAGTTTCTTAGAATAGCAAATTCTGGAATCAACAAGAGAGCATGCTATACTGGACCTTATACTGTGCAATGGGACAGGATTAATTCATGACCCCATAATAAAGGTTAACCTAACATTTGTTTGGGTACAATGCAAAGATCCATCTTTAGGGAGCTTATAGCTGGGAACTTA